TGCCACTGTATTTGCCTGTAGCAAAGAGCACTTCAGTCAGGTCTATAACTTTTTTTTAACTCTCACATATTTGGGGCTAAGGAAAATGCATCACGAGTTTCCTAAGCCCGTGTCCCCAGATTGTTACGCAGCTCGTAACGGCCACCTCGGCCTTTCTCTGCCCCACCCCACCCACCCCCAGCTAGATTTTCAAAAGAATATTTATCTTAATCCTATTTTTAGTGACTCAGATCAATTCTTCTCTCTTAGGTCCACGTAGGGGAAAGGCAGAACTCCAGGTGTGATGTTTAAGGTTTACCTTGACTAGTAATCTCATCTGAGTTTGCTTCCCCAGTGGCCCAGGGGCAGCCTGAGCGGATCCCCACCAGTCCCTAAAACCGGCGTTTTCTAACGATCGATAGCCCACGGTCATTTTCCAGCCGTCAGTGTGGTTTGGTCAGACACCGTCTGGAAGTCCAGAAACGTGGATTTGGACATCCTAAACTGACTTCATGCAATAAGCTTTTTTGAAAGCTCTTTGACTGCATTGAGCTTCCTCAACCCTGTGAGAATCCAGAAGGGAGAGAATGTGCTTCCCATCCTGCAGAGGGCAGACAGGACTTCAGGGGCAGGCCTGGAGAGCAGAGGTGTGAGGACTCAAGCGCAGGGCCGGATTTTGCTGCTCCAAGATGGCTGTTGTTCTCTGTCTCATAACTCCGCCTCTGTCTCCACCTCTATGGAGCTGAAGCCCTTGGTTGGCCATTGGAAAGTTGTTCCCTTAGCAAAGCAGGCAAAGGAGGCTGGGCCATGGGCAGCCAGGCTCTGGGTGACTCACATGGTGGGGAGAGATCCAAAGTCACTTTGCGGGCGGGGGGTGGGGGGGGGTGGTCTTCATTACTGGTTTTTTTCCAAGACCTTAGAACCCATCCCTGTGAAGATTCTTTCTTGCCGGCCGAATCGGGTCTTCTACGTCCCCTCTTGACCGGCCACAGTCAGGTCTGAAGATGAAAACCTCAGATGAGGACACAAGGAAAGCAAACACACGTGTTATTGCAGAAGATAATTGTGTGAGGAACCAAACTATCTAATATCCTTTTTTTCCACCACGAGACCGAGGAAAACTGGCCATTTTATCAAACTGGCCAGCAGTGTGTCTGGTCACCCAATAGACAAAAAGCCAGAAGTCCCTCCTCACTGTAAGCTATTCCTATTTTTTTTATCTAGGCAACCAAGTTTTGTTGATGCCTAAATATTAGGAAAAACAAAATGTATGCAAACTGTCTGTTTTATAAGGTCCTATTTTTTTCCCCTGGGTTTCTAGGACTCGAATGTACGCATCGTTCAGGACCTGCTTTTATGGTTTGTCAACAAGATCACTCCATAAAATACATTCTGATATCTCACAGCTGTGTATAATTTATTCTGTCTATCCATGCAGCACAAATAAAATTTTTATTTGCATCGTCTAAAAGAAAGAGCAGTGTGTAAATACATAAGCAAAGCTCATAAGAAACGGTCTTCTGCCTACAGATACTGCTGGGGGGATATTGTGCAACCAATTAAAAAGCGGAGGGAGGGCTTCATTATCCATGTGCATAGACAATAAATACCGTGCACAGCAAACAGTGCCGTTACTCAATTTCTTAAAAAGGTTGCACAACATTCTCCCAGTGCCGGCAGAGCCTGCCTCTAAATTCTCCTCGGAATATTTAGAAATAGAGCCTCGTAGACGAAAACGGTTCAGCCAAAAAGGACTTCTTTTGGATTAAGATGATGGAATATGTAGGTGAAAAGGGAAATGTTCGGTGGTTGGAACATTTTGCCTTCAGGAGAGTAGATAACTCTTTCTCTGCTACCAAGGGTCTCGGAGGAAAGAGGTGCAGAGGACTGAGAATGTTCCCGTGTTTGGTTTGTGCAGCTTCAGCGTGATTACCAACTAGGAGGCCCCACAAGGTTCCCCAGCTTCCCCCAAATCAAGGGTGTGGACTTGCTCCCCTCCTTCTCCCCTGCTGGCCAACTTTCGCGAACGATTCACCCAGGAGACCTGGGCTGTGTGGCGCCGTCTCCTTCCTTCCCAGACATATGGCTTCTCAAGGGCGTTCTATCACACACAAAGACTGTCATCCAAGTGTCTGGGGCTGGGCGAAGATCTCTTCCAGGTCTTTGTGCAGTGTGGCTGGAATACCCTGGAAAGCATCCGGTCTTCCCCACTGTGGCTGGGTGGTGGGTGGCGGGTGAGGCAGAACTCCTGTTTTGGATTTAACGAGCCCTTGGACAACCAGATTTGTGACTGACTACTCAAGTGAACCACTCACTTGGGTTGGAAATTTAACTGCCTGGAGTAGCTTCTAATCAAATTGTTTTGCTTTTGTAGAGAAAATGTTTCGATGCTTGCAATCACTTTCTTAACAGTTTTGCCCAAGTTTTCAAAAGATTAACGTAACGGCCACAGTGACTCTTGGCATGTGGCATGGCTTTCATCAGTTTAGGGGAAAGTTCAGACAGATTTCCCATTTTTATTCCATAATTGCTGGTATTTCAAAGCTTTCTTAGTCCAATTCAAATTAATACACCTCTCTCTTAAGATAAATTCAGCTAATTGCACTCTGTAGTCTGGTTCAGCAGGAGCTCTATAACTAAATTAACGCACACTTTCAAGTAAATTCCAACTCAGGAGTCCCACCGAGGGTCCAGAGCAAGAGATCTGGGTCCTGGCAAGGCTCAGAGAGTGATGTCGATGTCACCAGTGGATGACGTTCTCTATGCTTCACGTGTATTTTCTCCTTCTAGCCTCGCCACGCTCTGCCTCATTTTATGGAAAGGGAGAGAACTTGCTGTGCCTCTGTGGACTTGTTCTTCCCATGGCTCTGTGTGGGCCTGGAATATTCTCATCTTCACGGCTGGGCTTATATGCATCCAACAAATAACGATCTTTCCTGGCCTATCCGTCAAGAGTAGGCCTCCCCACCGCTCTACCATCAACTCGTGTTTTCTTATTCCCTTCTATTTGGAAACCATTGCAGATTGGCAGGAGTGGCACAGAGATTACACAGAGCCCCTGTAGCCCTGTGCCTTCTTTGACCTGCCTGCTCTCTGAAATGGTCTTGTCTGTTCATCTTGCTTTCAATACAAGAACACGTATTCATGTCCCTCTCTTAGATGCACGGGATAGAGAACTGAGTCTTCCGGGGTGAAGCTACATTTATGAAATGAAGGTCCCGCCAGGATAGGCAGAGGGACTGACTGTAGGTGACATTAGGGCATATTGGGCCAAATCAGAAACAATGGGCTTTTTGAATGGGAGACATCAGAGTGCCCATCAGAAGGTAGGCAGGGATTAAACAGTTGTTGAATGAGCGAGTGAGTGAACGAGCCAACAAGTGGGCAAACAACTGGACCAGAGACCCACAGCTGATAACATGGAAGGGTCAGTACAGGTGCTTGGGTATGTCTCATCCCCAAGCCCCTACTTGTAGTGACGTGACACTGCCAGGGAGTACATCGAAAGGCATGAAATCAAGCTGGTGGATGAGGGTCATTTATGCACAATCTCTATGCTGCCAATGGCTGCCCCCTCTGCAGTCAGGAGAAGGGATTCTGGAATCTTCCCTTTGGGTAGCAATTCTTTCCACTTCCATCCAGCCCTCCACCAGTATCCACAGATGTCACCACCTGGAGTGGGCCCCTCTGGGTGCATGGCCAGAACCCTCATCACTTGAATGCGGGTTCATCCCCAAAAACTCAGCTCCTCTCAGCCCTGAGCACCACATGATTTCCTCTTCTTGTTCACGTGGCTCATGGTCCTCTCCCCGCCACACACTGCTTGTGGCCACCAGGCCCACTCACTTCCTCTGCCGCTGGCCATCTCCCCAACTTTTGGCTCATCCCTGTTCCTGTGGTCCCTCAACCAGTGGGAGTTTTAAATGCCTTGTGAGCAGCTTGAGAATCTTCCCGATCGGCTGTGTCAGACAGTTAATACTCAAGTAGTAATCCTTTTGTAACCTGAATATAACTGCAGGCTTCCACATTGAGAATGATAAAATGGTGTGGATTTAAAAGTATTTGGGGAACTGTAAAATGTCTAGGATTAAAATTTCAATACCATTTGTGCCCAATAAATGTGAACTCCTTAGTAACTTAAAACAGTGCTATTATGACTCAGGTCTGAAAATTATGAGTCCTGGTTGAAGAAATGGGAATAACATGTGAGGGAATCTGCTCCCATCCTTTACCGTGAGGGATAGACTGTGGTTGCACCACATAGCAGGAATGTGACCTCATCGGAGAGTGAGCCCAGAGAAATTACCGTACTTGTTAAGAAAGTGATACACACTCCAGAAGAGAAAAAATGTTATACTTTCCATTAGGATTGTTTATGGATATGGCGCTAAATTGAACCTGTGTCGGGACATTAACTGGTTCGACAGGACCCCAAGAAACAAGATCATATAATAGTTTATTGAATTACTTAATTTTTTTTTTTACATAAACCAGTCTCGTCAGTCTGAACTGGCAAATTAATTTTGTCTATAGAATCACTCACTGAAGCATATAAAATTAGCCTCCGTAAGTACAGAGAGGAGACTCGGCATTGGGTTGAGCTGATTCACTGGGACTTAAGTAAATGGCTTTAGTCTTAATACAGCTAAAGCCTTGAGATGTTTAATGGAGAGCTGGTCTTAAGCAAAGCATTCATTCATCATTTAAAAAGTCACTACTTGCTGTGTTTTGGTTGCTTGTGGAAGGACAGAATTATATATACTTTGACTTTGATTATCACCCAGCACATGCCATAGGACTTGGAGGGGAAAATGAGCTTTCGTTTGAGTCGCAACATCGTTTGGTCAGATTGACAGAGAATTCATCACCTGCAACACTGACCGTGACTTAATAGAGAATGCTGTTTCTTTGGTCTCCTTCAACTTCTGGATATTTTCGTGGAGTTGTTTATGTCATGAGTTTCTGATGTCAAACTCTTCCTGACAAGAGTGAAGAATGGGGCTGTTTTCTTTCTGACGCAGGGGTGAACCCAGGAAGCAAATCAGCACCTTCCATCCAGCAGGCCGGAAGAAGGGGCCGGGGAGGAGCTTACGAAATAGTTCAGGTCTCTGTCTTGAACGGAGCCCTCTGGGACCCCACGGAGAGCATCCACTCAAAGGTCAGTTGTCTTGTCTCTTCTCGTTTTCTTGACTGTGTGATGGCTGAAGTTTGAAAATCACGTCAACTGCACTCATTTTCTTTGGTCCAAGCTTTGTCTTTGTTTTAATGTTGACTTTATCCTTACAGAGTGAAATTTTGTAGAGGGACAGTCTTGATGAGGGGCCCAGCGTCGTTTACGTCTGCTAAAAGTTCCTTTTCAAACACACACAGGTGATAACGTGTCCAGGTATACAGTTTCTGTGTGTGTGTTACTCGAGGGCTGGGTATTTTTCTATATTCATGTCTATTTCATCAACATTTTGATGTTATCGATTATTGGTAGAAACATGTTAATGTGACTTTTTTAAAAAGTTTGTAATGAGTTTTAATGCAGTTTTGTGCTTTGTTGACTTTGATACATATTTGATTTGAGCCTTCTGTGATGTAAAAGAACAATACAAAATTGAACCATTAGCGATTAAGTTTGATATTTCGATGAGTTTTAGGTGCCAAATCTACGCGACTTTCTTAAATTTCAGGACTTGTTGGAACAGTTGGAGAGTGATAAAAATCTATAGAAATATGAGCTCTTTGGAGAGATCACACATATGGCTTTGTCCTTGTGTTATGTGGAACTATTTTTAGATTATTTTTCATAATAGAAAACAGATTTTTTTTTAAGAACAGTTGAGATTGTGAAAATCCTCTGTGGCTTTCTGAAAGGGCTGCAGTGGGCCCCCTTAATGTGAGTAATGATAATATGATTTACATCACTAATTTATTTTCTAAAGAAGCTTTTGGTTGAAAGTGAGCAATCGGAAAGGTAGGAGGTTTGGTTAAAGGATCCAGATGCCAAATCTACTCTTTTGGATTTTTCTGTTTCATGGAAACTGTTGCAAATTTAACAGGCAACGGATAAGTCACTTGCGGTGGTATTGATGGTGTTTCCTGGAAGAAAAACTTAAGATGTTAAAGAATATTTCATTGTGTCATTAATCTGAAAAAATAGAGATGTTATGATAGATGCAGAAAAGAGAAGCATACTATACCAGAAAGTATGCCTTTAAAATATTTATAGGTGCTAATTAATAATACAAAAATATGGAACCATCTAAAGTTTCTTGGGGGGTAGAAGCCGTTATGGAAGCTTTCCCTGATTGGGGGGTGGGGGTTGCCAAATGTAGCAAATAAAAGTCGAGAATATCCCCGTAAACTTGGACTTCAGATAAACAGAGAATTTTTTTTTTCAATCTGTCCCATGCAGTATTTGGGGTATTGTTGTTTATTGAGATACACATTTAACTGGTACCCTGCCCTTTGTCTGGCAACCCTACCTGGGGTGCGTATCAGAGCCAAACCTGATGAGTGTTCTTGGCACGCCACTGGAATGGACCAGTTCAGGTGGGGTCTGGTTTCTGACCTCCAGCTTCATCCTTCCTGCCAGCCAGCCATCTGGCGGACATCCCGAGGCACGGCGGCGCGTCTTCTGCTTCTGGCCAAGCTTACAACCCGATGACTATGGGGCACCCGCACCAGCTTTAGAGAAAACGGAGAAAACCATTATTATTTGATGACTGTCTCAGCTCCTCTGCAATTGTACCTCCAGATTAGGACCATGCAGGTGGTAGACACATGCGTAGGACACTCAAAGGACTCCACCTTACCGACATTATTTAAGGGAATAGGGACTTAAGAGATTTGGGGGACAGCATTTTGTCATAATGCCATGGGACTCGTGAAATCAGCCTTATGGCTCTGTCATTACGATGTGTGCCCATATGTGGTAGTTAACCACTAAGGGCCTGCATGAGAAAGGGCGCCTACGACACGCTTGTACATGCGTGCCATAATTCCCCATGAGGGAGATGCGTGTACCTGTTGGGAGAATAGGGATTCTGACTAATGGTGTGTATGTGTGTGTCTTTCCTTGTCATCACGTATGACTGCCCACATCTTCATGTTAGACATTTTCATTCTCATTTCATTTCACATTAACAGAGTATATCCTCAGGTATGCAAAACTTACATTCATGAATATTTTTGCCACACAACTCTGCCTGCTGTACCTGAGAATATGGAGTTGTGGGTTTAGATTCTTGCTTTTCTGCCCTGCTCTTTTATTCTTTGCTCTCCTGTATCTTTCTGTTCAGCCAGTGTCTTTCCTGAGAGTGTGCTTAGTTTGGGGAAGGCCCAGGCATCTTCCTTTTTATAAAGTGCTCCTAGGGGATTCTCATGAGCACACAAGATTAGAACCCTTGCACTGTTGGAAAGCGCTGGAGTGCTGGTCAACCCGACTGAGCTGATTTAGGCAGAAGTACTGTCACATTCCACACCTCCTTCTCCCCGCTGTGATTGAAATATATCTGGATGGGATATTATTAGGTCCTTTTCAAATGAAGCACCAAGCCATCATTGCCACTGATAATTTACTTGACAGAGACGAGGCTGGGAAAGAACGTGACCTTGCCCGCGTTGGAGAGCTTCTGGCATTTTATTTGTCTGCTCGCTGTTATTTTGGTCTATAACATGAGGATAAGCCTGTCTGCTTTCCCTCCATCTCAGGGCTGTTACAGGAATGAGTGTGATGAAACAATGGCTGTAAAATCCCATGGGGGAACTAAAACCCGCTACACCAATGGAAGGTGATACTACAAGTACAAAGTGTTTTAGGGACCCATCTCCAATTTCATGTCTTGAAAGAAAGGAAGCCCGGGGAAGGCATGTCAAGATGTGACAGATCGGGAGATGACCTGCGTTGAGCCCAGCCTTTGAATGCTCCAGGAAATGTCCAACCACCAGCCTGCTCACATGAGAACGAATGTATGGAAATAGTGTGTGGAATGGAAAATAGAAAGGCAAGCAGATTAGAACGTGCAACCGAAGCTTCCCTTTGCATATTGTGGGTCTCAAATATCAAATATCAAATGGCAACTAATTAAAACGGCAGAAGTAGATTCCGCTCCATACATTGAAAGGAGCCTTGCTTCTCCTTCAAATAACCATCTGTGTCAGCCCTTCTGGGGAGACTTCTCCTCACGTGGCGGGGGGGCAGGGTGTTCACCCCACCCCCCGCATTCCCACCCCCCACCCCAGTAGCAGCGCCCCCTCCCAGCACTTCCTCACAACCACGGTTCTTGCCAAGGTCATAGGTGGCCTCCCAACTTCCAAAGCCAGCCCTTCCTTTCACTCTGTGTCTTACTTATCT